GATGGGGACCACCACCCCGGTCTGCCACTCCCTAGGAACTGCCCCCGATGACCACGCAATGTTGTAGAGACGTGTCAACCATGACAGCCCTACAACATCCATAGCCTTGAGATACCCAGGACGAACCTCATCCACCCCCGGGGCTCCGCCGCTGTGTAGTTGTTTGACTACCTCAGCAACTTCTGCCCCCGAGATCGGACAGTCCATCCCCAGGCCTCCCAGCTCTGGTTCCTCCTCGGAATGCGCATTGGTGGGATTGAGGAGCTCCTCAAAGTATTCCTTCCACCGTCCGACTATAGCCTCAGTTGACGTCAGCAGCTCCCCATCCCCACTGTAAACAGTGTGAGCGAGTTGCTGCCTTCCTCTCCTGAGGCGCCGGACAGTTTGCCAGAACCTCTTTGGAGCCGATCGATAGTCTTTCTCCATGGCCTCCCCAAACTCCTCCCATGCCCGAGATTTTGCCTCGGCAACTGCCACTGCTGCACCCCGCTTGGCTATCCGGTACCTGTCTGCTGCCTCCGGAGACCCACAGACCAGCCACGCCCTGTAGGCCTCCTTCTTCAGCCTGACGGCTCCCCGAACCTCTGGTGTCCACCAGCGGGTACGGGGGTTGCCACCACGACTGGCACCGGCCACCTTACGACCACAGCTGGCAACAGCCGCCTCGACAATCGCAGAGTGGAACAAGGCCCACTCGGACTCAATGTCCCCCACTGCTCTCGGGATGTGGTCAAAGCTCTGCCGGAGGTGGGAGTTGAAGACCGTCTTGACAGGTTCTTCTGCCAGGCGTTCCCAGCAGACCCTCACTATGCGTTTGGGTCTGCCAGGTCTACGCGGCATGTTCCCTTGCCATCTGATCCAACTCACCACCAGGTGGTGATCAGTTGACAGCTCCGCCCCTCTCTTCACTCGGGTGTCCAAAACATACGGCCGCAGGTCAGATGATACGACTACAAAATCTATCATCGACCTGTGACCTAGGCTGCCCTGGTACCAAGTGTACCGGTGGGCATCCTTATGTTCGAACATGGTGTTCGTTATGGCCAAACTGCGGCTTGCACAGAAGTCCAATAACAAAACACCGCTCGAGTTCAGATTAGGTGGGCCGTTCCTCCCAATCACACCCCTCCAGGTCAAGCTGTCATTGCCCACGTGAGCATTGAAGTCCCCCAGCAGGACAATGGAGTCCCCTGATGGAGCACTATCTAGCACTCGTCCCAGGGACTCCAAAAAGGGTGGGTACTCTGAACTGATATTTGGCCCATAAGCACAAACAACAGTCAGGACCCGTTCCCCGACCCGAAGGCGCAAGGAAGCTACCCTCTTGTCCCCCGGGGTAAACCCCAACACACAGGCAGAGTCTCGGGGCTAACAAAAAGCCAACCCCAGCCCTCCGCCTCTCACCCGGAGCAACTCCAGCAAAGTAGAGTGTCCAACCCCTCTCCAGGTCTCGGGTTCCAGAGCCAATGCAATGTGTCGAGGTGAGTCCGACTATATCTAGCCGGTACCGCTCAACCTCTGCCACAAGCTCCGGCTCCTTCCCCGCCAGCGAGGTGACGTTCCATGTCCCAAAAACTAGTTTTCTTGTCCGGGGATTGGACCGCCAAGGCTCCCGCCTTGGTCTGCCACCCGATTCGCATTGCACCGGACCCTTCATGTTCCTCCTGCGGGTGGTGGGTCCACAGTTGGACGAGCCCATGTATCCGGTTCGGGCTGGGCCCGGCCGGGCCCCATGGGCGAAAGCCCGGCCACCAGGCGCTCGCTCACGGGCCCCAACCCCAGGCCTGGCTCCAGGGTGGGACCCCGGTAACCCTCCGGGCCGGGTACTCCGACTCTTCGTTTTAACCGCCATGAAAGATCCTTCGAACCGTTCTTTGTCTCACCCTTCACCTAAGACCAATTTGTCATGGGAGACCCTACCAGGGGCACTAAGTGCCCCAGACAACATAGCTCCTAGGATCATTAGGGCACTCAAACTCCTCCACCACGATAAGGTGACGGTTCAAGATTTGTCTGTGCAAAAATAAAATGCTGCAGGCAGATGGTTCTTCAGGTCCTGCAAATACTGCTCGCTAGTGTAAGCCGGAGCGCCACTGGACTGAACTGACTGATACAGCAGGTGAAATGGCAGTGTCATCATCATTTCATGAGTACACGCCATTGCGGGGTCAATTTTAACACAAATCTTTAGTGTGGACAGACGGTAGTTAGTCATCAATAGATCTGGGCGCTCTCGGAGTGTGATACCCGAAGAGGGCCCAGGTTCATACAGTCGCGTTAGAGGAGGCTGTGGAGGAAGTTTAGCTGCATTAGATATCAAATCGACACACGCAACTAGCAAAAGATACTTTGCCAGTCCTGAAAACTGAAACTAAGAACATTTAAGACTGTAGACTGGTGCAGGCACGGCCTTGCGAGGGTTCGGCGCAGGTGAGCGCTCTGGGGGTGCCTCGGTCGATGCACAGGTGCAGTCAGAGTGATCAGGGTCAGCCAGTAGTGGTACAGGGCGACAGTGGTGGTGGCCACTCCTTGAATTCTGCCATGTTGAGGCTGCATTCCCTGTGGTCCCACAAGGAGGCCAACAAACTGAACCTTTGACCTGCACCACTGACCACCACTGCGAGAGAAATCTTTGCACCAGCATCTGCGAGCTGACCCATGACATGGTCCAGCTCAGACAGGTGGTCATCCAAGGTATGCTTACGAACAAAAATGTCGTTGAAATAGATTAGGGTACCTTGCTCTCGAGCATCAAGGCAGTCTTTGTCCAAGAAGATGTTGAAGTCAGCTGGTGAGTTGGAATAGCCAAAATGACACAGAGTGAAGGTGTACTGGTGGTTAGCAAAGGAGAAAGCTAATTTATATTGGTCAGACTTATGGACAGGAATTGTACAGAATCCAGACGCAATGTCAAGGATGGAGAAGTATTTAGCGTCTTTCACCTTCGGGAGTTCTTGTTCCAGGCACGCCATCGGCCACCTAGACAAGGGAACCTGTTTGTTGAGTTACCTGTAGTCAATGGTCAGTCGCCACTTACCTTTAGGTTTCTTTACCGGTCACAATGGAGCCGAGTAGGTGCTGTTGGAGGGTCGAATGATACCCTTCGCCAAGAGGCTTTCAATGATTTCCTGGACCGGTCCATGGGATGCCAGGGCAATCTTGTATTGACGCACAAAAGTCAGTGCAGCATGTGGCGGTGTAGGAATCCTGACCTCGTGGATAGTGGTTAGCCCACAGTCCAAGGAGTCAAGTGAAAGAAAGACCTTGTATTTTAACAGAAGTTGCCGTAGATTGTCTCGCTTGACTTCATTGGTAAGAGCATCGGCTTGGTCCACGACCTGTTCAATTTGAGAGAAAACATCAGAGGGAATCTCTGATGGAGGCTTTGAGCTCCAGTTGGTGGGATGAAGGCAGGCCGATTTAAAGGGAACACATGCAGTCTCGTGTCTCTTTTTTGACCAGATGTTGGATGGTCAAACAGTACCTAAAAACTGACCATTGCTGGACGTTACATTCTCATTAAGAGAAATTCACGGTCCTAGCAGCAAATACATAAAACATGAAGCTTCGTCCCTAATCCTTAGGGAGAAAAAGAGATAAAAGGGTACAAGAACTAAATAAGAATAAAAAGTTCTAGTTCTTGAAACAGGAGTGCTAGAATTTTTTCCCTCAGAGATCGACATACTAGGCATTCATTTATACTAGAGACCACTGCACATGCATTGAAAGAGTGGACTTGGTCTTTAAGGAGTGAGATTGATCACTGTATTTTAGTGAACTATTTTCCCTTGTCGGACAAATTATTGTTAAAACAGCAATTCTAATTATTAATTAGACTGCAGAGAAATTAATTCAGGTTAAAAGTCTGCCCTACATTTGGATTTGAATTAGCCATTTCTATTGATTAAAACAACATACCGTGACACTGCATGACATCTGCTGCACATCTGCTGTGGTGTATAAAAGCCATTGTTTTTCAGCCACGCCTTTGACTGGCTCAACCACTCATGAATTGAAACAAAATGATACAGATCGGAGTCACTTGCCTCCTCCAAAACCTTCCTTCATTTCCTCTCTGACCTCTGGTGAAAGAGGTAGGGAGAAATCCTCAAGAGAGTTGCCATTTCTCCATCCGAGCTGGGTGTGCTTGTTAGTGTGTGTGTGTGTGTGTGTGTGTGTGTGTGTGTGTGTGTGTGTGTGTGTGTGTGTGTGCTTATTAGTGGTTCATTTCTCTAACTGACAATATCTGATGAGGTATTGTCAGTCACTGCTGCAGCACTGTGCTCTTAGTCTGCCAGGCAATGCCTCCTGTTGGCACATTTTTGCAGCAACAGGAAGTGTGCGTGGGGTAGGACTGGTAAATAGCTATCATGCTAGGAGGTACTGGATCACCTTTCCTTTCTCTCTCACTCCATCATTCACACACACTCATACCTGTAGCCAGGGGTGTGTCCAGGGAGTGGCCTGGGGTAGCTCATGCCACCCTTGGAATCTGATTGGCCACCCCAGGTGCCACCACACTAATTTACTTTTAAATAGGCTTTTCATTGTCCACAAAAGACTTGGGGGTGAAACAAAGAAAGCATAACCATTGGTGCCACCCATGCACAAAGTTGTGCTTCACCTGGGCCACCCCATTTTAAAAGATCTGGACACGCCACTGCCTGTAGCTGTTTAAATTGTATGTGTTTATAATGTTAAAACCAGGATATCTAACACAAATTCTATGTAGTGTTAGTGCCACCCTCTGGTGGAACTGAATATTGCAATTTAAGGTGCTCACGCTTTGAACAGATGACAGACACACAGGAGAGTAGGTAATGGTCAGAACTTCATTTTAAATTATTACAATAATAATAATAATAATAATGATAATACTACTACTACTACTACTACTAATAATAATAAATGTGTGTGTGTGTGTGTGTGTGTGTGTGTGTGTGTGTGTGTGTGTGTGTGTGTGTGTGTGTGTGTGTGTGTGTGTGTGTGTGTTGTTCCAGGATAGAGAAGGATGATTCCCCTCAGAATCCATACGTTGTGATGTCCTATGATGGGACGGTATCTACTGAAGAGGAGATGAGGGTGGTAAGCACCTGTAAGATGGATGTCTACAAGTTCCCCTTTGACACACAGGAATGCACCTTGTCCATTGGTTCTGCTATACATTGCTGTGAGTTGTAATCAGTGTTGCGAGTAGCATGTTTCTTTTCATGGTGTCTTGAAGCCTTATTTCTCTCTTGTCTCTTCCCACAGTGAATGAAATGCGAATTTTACCTTTCTCAAACTCCTCTCGGGCTACTCAGTTTTCACGAGAGGTAATTAAGAGTCAGGGAGAGTGGGAGTTCCAGCAGCTGTCCGTCAGCAGCTCCAATCTCAGCTATAATGATAAAAATTGGGAGCTACTCAAGTACACGGTAGGGAAATATGGAAGGAAACAAAGTAAAAAACACAGCTGAGCAAAAAAACTTGGCATTCCTCAAAATGAATATATATCTGCCTTACATGGCAGACTTTTAACTAAATGACAACGTCAATTAATTAATTATAAAAAATATACAGTGTCATACAATATCACCTGTAGTGTGATCTTTGAGCACTCTGTGTGTTGTGGTAACTTTTGTGTCATTAAAGGTTAACCACTTTCTGTAAATCTGACAGAGTTATAGATGTTTGTGTATTTGCTACTAAGTAAAAAGTTTACATCAGGAGAACGAGAATGACTGTTATTTTACATTAGTAATGTTTGCTGCATTGCTACCAGTTTCTACTCCCTGCTGTTTCACTAGATCACCATAAAGAGGAGACCCCTCCTCTACGTCATTAACTTGCTGATGCCTGTCCTGTTTTTCTTGACTCTGGATATTGCCTCCTTCTTCATCTCTGACAACCGAGGCGAGAAGCTGAGCTTCAAAGTCACAGTGATGCTGGCCATCTCCGTCCTGCTGCTCATCCTTAATGAAATTCTGCCCTCCACGTCCAACAAGACTCCACTCATTGGTACAGACTCGTCCCGAACACATTAACAGTTAAATTGAGATTAAATCAAAGCATTGCTCATGGCAGGTTTCCTCCTTTCAGCGACCTACTGCATTGTGATTTTTGGTCTGATGCTGCTCAGTTTGTTGGAGACAATCTTGGTCACATATCTGATGGACAAAGACTCAGAGGTCATGCTCCCTCGGAAGGATGACGTAAAGGACAAACAAATGAATGTTAAAACTGAGATTTGCAACATGGGTGAGAATTACATCCCAGTAGATGTTTTGACCAACATTGTCACATTTTTCCTTTCATACTTTATCTTTTTGTGTTTCCTTCGGCTAATTTTGATTAAATTAGACCAGAATTAAATGAGACTGACATGTCTTAAAGTTTTGGACATTTAACGCTGGACACAAATGTTTATTTATTTTTGTTAAATCAAACATAGGACAGGGACAAATGAGGAAATAAACAGATGAATTATACAAGGAAATGAATTTGTTCCAAAACTAAGGTCTAACAAAGACAAGAAACAAGTCAATGTCAAAATGCTGAACTTCTAAATGTGAGGCCTAAAGATGATTCCTACATTACTTTTACTCAGTTTGAGCACCAACCATTTGCACATTTGAATCTGCATGTTAATTAAATTATCTGCATGGTTACTGAAGCAACAAATCTCTTTCAGATGCTGAAAAGCAGACTTGCTGCTCCTGTCTCTGCAGAGTGTCTGAAAGTGAGAAACAACAAGAGCTGCTGCCCGTTGCTGAAGAGGTAACATTTTTTGTGTACCTTTAATTTTCTCTTTGTGCTTCTGAAAAGATGAATCACAACTTTTTTCAACTTTGTAAACATAATGAATAGTTTTCTCTGTTGCTCCATTAGCATTACACACATAAACGTAACCATCCATGGTGGATCTGTGACAAACACCTCAATGCTTACGCTTTTAACCCTCCCACTGTCTTTATGGGTGACCCCACGAGGAAAGTTGACCATTGAGCAGGATTGATGGTTTATCCCTTGAGGTCCACGTGGCAGGGGTGAGGTGGTGCTCACTCCTCACCCCTGCCACATGGACCCAAGGGATAAACTATCAACCCTGCTCAATGGTCAACTTTCCTTGCGCGGTCACACTCATTAGGACAGTGGGAGGATTAAACAAACATAATAAGACTGTGTGTCCAGTGGTGATCACTCATGTTTTTTTTTACAATCAGTTCCCCTAATAAGCTAAAGTCTGTTGCATCACTCTCTGCTCAGTCTGACATTAATATAGATGCTGCTGTCAGAGTTTAAACTCTCATGCTATAATGGAACACCCCCCCCCCCCCACACACACACACACACACATACACACCCACCCCCGTTGTTTAGTGCACAGGCTTTTAACTCTGACAGAAAGGCACTTTATACAAGCTGTAGCTTGAAAACCAGGAACTTCTTGGACAATCAGGTCATTCCAACAGTTTGCACAGATCATATGTCCAGAACATTATAACTTTGTCTTTTTAGAGTTAGTCACACACTCATAACTCAGTATCTTTACTGCAAACACAGTCTGAAGATTGTTGTCAATTGCATTATAATAGCTGTATCTGTGTGAAGTAGATAAGAGGCTACTCATGAAGAGTTGGATCTAGCAGAATCCAACAGCATCTGTGTGGTTTCACAGGTGATCAGCAGCATTCAGTCAGGAGAGGCTCATGTACTGCTGTCGATTCTGGATGAGCTGAAGAAACTGCAGGAAACCGTTTATCTACATCTGGGCTGCAGAGAAGAAAACATGAAATTTGTGCACTGGGCAAAGAGGATCAACAGAGTTTTCTTCTTTTTCTACATCATCACTGTTTTCCTGTTTTTGTCCTTCATCTTCATGGAATGGAACGCTTAGGAACGTTATATCTGTTTCACTTAAAACAATGCAGCTTCCGTTTAATGCCTTGAACACACAGTGGGGGTTGGACAGTAATCGCCTTGTTTCAAAGACATTGATTTTGTTTCCTTTCCATCCTTAAATGAAAACACAAACTACATATATTTATCCAGCTTTACTTATCCAATAAAACCAATAACATCCAACTGACAAAAAGCACAATTATAGTTTTCAAAAATAAGAAACAAGAAATACTGAGATTAATAAAGGAACTCCCCACAATGCCAATATTTTGTTAAACCACCTTTTGCTTTAATAACAGCCTTGAGTCTGTTGGGATAGTTTTCTATGAACTTTGCACATCTAGATTGAACAGTATTTGGCCAGTCTTCATTACAAAACCATTCAAGTTCAGTCAGATTGGATGGTAGGCGTTGGTGGACTGCAATCTTCAAATATGTCTGCAGATTTTCATTGGATTTAGGTCTGGGCTCTGACTGGGCCACATGAGGTCCTTCCCTTTTGTCTCCTTCAACCACTGTGTGGTAAGTTTTCCTGTGTGCTTTGGATTGTTGTCATGTTGAAAGGTGAATCTTCTACCCATTTCCAAATTTTTGGCAGCGGGTACACACATTTTTTCAAGAATTTGACGGTTTTGCCCCATCCATTTCCTTCTAACCTAATGAGAACCCCATTCCCTGAGGCAAAGAAGCAGCCCAATAAAAAGATGCTGCCACCTTCCTGGTGTAGGTATGGTTTGTTGTGGTTGGTAAGCTGCATTAGATTTACACCAGGTTTACCATTTGGTATTGAGCCAAATAGTTACATCATGGTCTCATGTGACCATGACACCTTCTTCCTTTTTCCATTTGGCATCAGAACCTTCAAGGTGCATTCTGGCAAAGCTCTAACCAGCTTTAATGGGGCCTTTTTTGGGAAGTTCTTGTGGAATACATACATACATACATACATACATACATACATATATATATATATATATATATATATATATATATATATATATATATATATATACACACACACACACACATAAAACTTCAGTAAAGGCTACATTATGAATACTGACAATATTAACATTTTTGTTGACGATTAACAAAAATCTAGTCAGAAAATGGAAAAGGTGGGAAAATTAACCAATCGGCAAATGGAACAGGTAAGACTAGATGAGAAATAAACCAATCAGAGCCTGGAGCTACAAGCTACCGGTCACCACAGGCATCATAAATTGATGTCTGTGCCAGTAACAGTTAAACATTTTATGCCTAAAAGGAGAAAATAAATGTGATGGTTTGAAAAGTATTTGCTTGGTGGGTACACATCCGGGTTTGAGAAACACAACTGTCAGTGTGTGTTTTGGTATTATCCATTAATTATTGTTTTTAAAACCATTATAAATTAAGAGTTTTAATGATCCAAAGTGTGAAATGTGAATTTTTCATATTTCTTCACAGTTTCAAGTAGGTATAGTTTACATTTAATTTACAGAAGTTGGAAATTATTGCATCAGAAGAAAAAGATGTATAGTCAGTTCCTTGCTGTCAGTTGGACTACCGAGCAAGAAAGTGTTCTAAAAACATTTGTTTTTATGCTCCACTAATCACATTGACTACAACTGATCACAGGTGGAAGCCAGTAACCTGCCAAGGAAACGGAAGTAGTTACTTTCCCTGACTGAGCTGAAAAGTATTGTTTTGAAAGGGGATATTTCCTTTGTTAATTTTAATATTTCTATTTTCTTTTCTTCTTTTTAATTCTTCTTTAACTGTAACATTGGCATTTTTCAACAAGTGTTATAGGTTGCATTGGATTAGTAAAGTTTAAAGATATTTTAATGTAAATGTAACTGGATGAAAAGTAAAAAGATTGAAGTCCTTCAAACAAGAGATTCTTTTCTATACTCATTGTACAAAATGTGTATTAGTCTAGGTTTCTTCAAAAATACTTTAGACATGCACATGTATGAATTAATTATGCCATTGCAAGTAAACTGGATAAAGCACTGCCATAACTTGTGTTACTGTTGGCTCTTCTCCTTGTGCACTCTTATGTGTGTGTAGCATTTAGTACATATTAATTATGACCAAAAAGATGTGATATTCCTTACAAAAATGAAATATCAATCTGATTGATCTTTGAATGTTTAATCAGAAGATTCTAGGGTTCTTTGCTTATTCAGTGACCATAAACACACTTCGTATTATTGCAGACAGAGTCAGGTATGTAGTATAAAAATGAATTTAATTATTTTCCCTAAACTAATGATACATGACAAGATATGAATAAGGAGATGTGGTGTGGTGGATGTGAGGTGTTGTGATGGAAGCTAGATGTTGTAGCAACCGTTATTGTATCTGAGAGAAATTGTGAAATCTGGGAGTAAAAGAATTTGTTGTTTGTTATAAACTAGAGAGTTGTTTATTTGTAAACCTCATCATACACCAGTATGCAGGCTTATGACACCCTTGTATGAGTTGCTCCCGGCGGTCCGGAGGGTTGCGGTCAGAGTGGTGAGGTCACCGGACGTCGAAACCACAATAATCAGAGATTAGTAGATTCCTCTGAGTTCAGCTTCCCCGGCCATGAGATACAACCCGGGGTCTGCAGATTAGATGTCTCAGGTGTGAAGTAGCTCTGAAAAGAGCTGTTGTGTCTGTAATCACTTGCAGCATTGCAGAAAGGTTTTGACTTAAGGTCAAAGGAGTTTGTTTCAAAAGAGGCTTCTTTCCCGCTTTGGCCAAATCGGGGCTCAGCTGGAAACTGAACTAATAAGGAAGTAAAGCCTGTTTCAATAAACTCATTATTTATAATTTCTGGTGCATTCTGACAAATCGGAATGTGCCATGTCTGGAAGGCTTTACCAAAACTTTCCTCAGAAAGCCATGCCTTCTTGCAGATACAAACATGTTTTTAACATTAATATGTATCTTATTGTAATGTGTATGAGTGTAAACAATGATTAACTTGTTAAAATAAACACATACTGATTTGTGATATAAATGGATCATTGTAAGAACAATATTAATTTCAAATTCATTGATTTAAGCACAGATTATTCAAACATTTTATTTAAACATCTTGTTCTTTCATCACATATGATTATTTAACTTATAAGTTGTAAAAGTCATGAAGTTTTCACTTATTCAGAGTGAAGAATGTTGATGTCTGGCATTCATGCAAAGAGTGTAGGACCTTGGGAGAGAATATTTGTTTGAATGTTTTGTTTTCATGGAATGTCAACACGTGCTGAGCAGAACCTTCTGGTTCTGGAAGGCCAATTAGAAAGTGGATTTATGCTGTAGATGTTGGTCAGTATATAGGTGAAAACTGACTCTTTTGGACGTAGCGTTAAAAGATTGACTATGAGGGTAGATGATGAATGTAAGTAAGTAAATTTGTAAGTAAATTTTATTTATATAACGCTCACCACAGACAGAAAATCACAAAGTGCTTCACATAGATCAAAACAAAGCAAATCATAGTCATAAAATCCTAATGATCTCAAAACAGAAATAGAGTAAAATCAGATAAAAAAAAGTCATAACATTATAAAATACCACAAAACAAATGAAATATTATTACAAATTTGAGTTAAAAATAAGAAAATACAAATTTATGGGTAAAAGCAGCTTTAAATAAAAGGGTCTTTAGCTGTTTTTTAAGTGTCCAGACTGTCAATGTAAGGATAAAGGAAAATCATTCCAAAGTCGGGTGCAACAGCCTGGAAGGAGCAACCACCTCGACTTTTATATCTGGTTTTAGGAATTTCTGTAAGGTTCTGGTGGGTTGGAGCATAAGGCTTTAACAGTTCAGTAATATAGGGAGGAGCTTGACCATGTGGAGCCCTAGGTTATAATCATAAATCATTCTAAAATGAACTGTAAAGTACGCCACAAAAATAAATAAATAAATAAATAAACACACCAAAAAATGATTTATGCAGAGATTTTGTAAAACCTTTAAGCTGTCTGGTTCAAATTTATTTGAAAAGTCTTAAAAAAAAACTTCCTAAATTATTTAGCAAGCAGAAACGTAAAAAAAGCACATAGACCCACAAACCCTGCTGGTGTTAATGACTGCTCTGATCATCTCTTCATTCAGTCCGACCCTCTTGTCCTGCTCATTTATCACAGACATGTTAAACTCATTCCTCCCCTGCAGCCTGACATCCTGTACATCATAATTATGTCACACACTGAAGGTGATTTGTTTTCATTACAATGCTTATTGCTGTGCACGTTCACAAAAGGAGACACAGGAATAAACTCACCACACAAGCTGCTACTTGTTTTTATTACTTCTACCTGAACCATGGTGGATATTGTTTTTAGGTGTTCTATGTGTGGTTAGACATCACCTTAAATATGTCAGTGATTTTTCAAAAAAATTCAGTTGAGTTTTCTATACTTTATTTGCTGTATTGTGTACACCTGTGTTCAGTGTTCATTCTCCTTCTAATATAGCTGATAGTTTGTTCAGCTCCCTAATTGTGCATCCATCCATCCATCCACCCATCCATCCATCCATCCACCCATCCATCCATCCATCCACCCATCCATCCACCCATCCATCCATCCATCCATCCATCCATCCACCCATCCACCCATCCATCCATCCATCCACCCATCCATCCACCCATCCATCCATCCATCCACCCATCCATCCATCCATCCACCCATCCATCCACCCATCCATCCATCCATCCATCCATCCATCCACCCATCCATCCATTTTCCTCCACTTATCCGGGGAAGTTGGGATATCACATTTCAGACACTTTGAGAGGTCTTCACCAGAATCCATGAACAAGTAGACAGCACCATGGCGCATGGATATAATTGTCAGGAGTGTTGCCTGTGCAGTGTGCACAAGTGTCAGACAATGCAAACCCCATCCTGACCATCCGATGACCTGTATAAAGTACTCTGTGCAGAATTTTGTATTAAATTAATTGTAATTTGGGCTTCCTGGTCATTTATAAAGTTTTTAAACAGGTTGGAGACCAGAAATTTTGGTCAAAGCTGATTGATCCACCTTCCAGTTTTGCTGCCCTTCTCCAATTTCAGTTTGAAATTTAAAATTTTCCCCACTTGATATATGTTTTGATTCATATATATATATATATATATATATATATATATATATATATATATATATATATATATATATATATATATGAACTTTTCTTCTTTCTTTCTCTACAGCTGAGAACTAAAAGTTCTCCAGATAATGAGATTTTTAATGCTTTTTGATTTACTTTTACTAAAAAATTGTATGTAAAATTCAATAAACACATAGGAGACATTTAACTAATTAGCATAATTAACGGAGATCAATGCACTGATAAGTAAGTTCACTTTGTGAAGTGCCTTGAGACGACTCTTGTGAATTGATGCTATATAAATAAACTGAAACTGTAATCAGATTATTCAAAACACCCCTGATATATTATCAGAACATTTACAGATGTAAATTCAGAGTTAATTGAACACATTGTGAAAAATGTATTAATGCCTAACCTTATCCAAACCAAACAATAGACATTTATATTTAGAGGTTAGTGGAGCCAGTTTCCATTTCCTTTTTTCTGTAATTAAATCTGGACGTATTCTTGTGCATTTATCCAGGGCATGAGGGCGTAACTCATTTGCAGATGGCTCTCAGACAAATGGGAATAAGAAAAAAAAAAGCCCTGACACATTTAGAATCCCTTTGCCCAACCCTTTTTCAGCTAACCATGTCATCATCATCATCACCACAAAAGACTTGTCAACAGCTTCAGTCAGCACTGAGAGGACACGGACACATATGTGTTAAAGAGAAAAGGTGCTGTAGTCATGATACCTGTTGGCTTCTTCCTGCTGCTCTTCATCTCAGGTAGGCTTCCATAACATTCAGCCGGTTACACAATTAACTCAGGATTAACAGTTAAAATTAATTTATTTAAGATTTACTGATTAAAAATGCCAGCTGGAACATTCTTACTTTCTAAGGTTTTAGGCTGAGTTTGGTTTTTTTCTTCCACAAGAACAAAAAGAATGAATTAATAAATAATCAAAAGATGTTGAAAGGCATGCAGAACATCTTGATAAAATAAAAATCAAAGAGTTCAGACGTAAAAAGTAAAATATGACCCTCAAAAATACAAAATTTCAGGACAAGATAGTTTTAAATACAGTTAAGCAAATCATATCTAATAATTATATATTCTTCACTATCCCAACTGGGAGTAGTTGTTTCCTTCTACAAAGTGACAGACTCTTTCAGCACAATATCTTATCTTGTAACAAACTAAAATAAAACCAGAATATCTGTTATGTTTGGTGAAATAACTATTCCTGAAACACACTGCTCATGGCTCCAAATAATTAGTGTACTATTGAAACAAAATCCTGTAATCCTGCTGATGTCCGTCTCATAATGGCCTCTCAATGACCACAATCAATCCCAATTGCCGCCCATATTTGTGAGCTGCTTTTAATGGGCTCATCACAAATTTAGAAGCACTGGACACACAGCAAACAGGAAACAAATGCAATTATGTAATTAACATATCAATAGTTGGGAGTTTTAAAGAAAGCATTATTCTACAGTTCAAATAAAAATATTTTTTACCTGAATAATCCATGTGTGATACATCTTTTATAACAGGTGAAGTTTCTTCTGAGGAAATCTGCAGTTATCAGGATGTTTTGAACCATCTAAATCTGACCAGAAGCAATGAGCTCTACTCCATGAGTCGTCCAGTTAAAAACTACAAAAATCCCACTCAGGTTTCCCTGGAAGTTCTCCTTTATGCCATCCTAGATGTGGTGAGTAGTCACTGATTTGTTGTCTTTGAGTTATAAAATACTTTAAGGCACTGGAGTCAAATGCAACTTAAGTAAGCTTAAGTTACGCCTATCTGCTGCCGGTCAAGGTCGCTGCCCCAAAAATAACAACAACAACAAAAAAGAAAGAGTCTATAGAATGATAGATGTATTTTTCTTATCCCATTTGATATTTACCATGGATTTAACACATGCTGTCCGTTTGGTCTAAAGACACATTTTGTTGCAGAGAAAGTGCATATTTTCAACAGGAATCAAAAGTTACTTCAGGTTTTGTGTGAAAACATGTGGCGGACTATAACTATGTCAGTTAGTCAACAAACCAGACAAGGATAACAATGAGAAAAATAAGCTTTTGAAATTAATAAGCTTCACATTCTTCATCCAGGACAAAAGAAGGATCAGTAATGTGAAGAATACCAATATACATCTAGTCTAACATCTAGTTAGACACAGGAGCAGAAGCTAAATGATTGTGCTCTGCATGTCAGTCTAGCCACACCCCACTGGAATCTTAGGAGTCCTGACCAGTCTTGTGGCTTATTTGTGGAAGATACTACTACTACTACTACTACTACTACTACTACTACTACTACTACTACTACTACTACTACTAATAATAATAATAATAATAACAAAATCATGTTCTCTCCTCTAATTTTACAGGTTGAGAAGGACCAGAAGTTCATTCCTTATGTTTGGACTGTTGTAGTGAGTTCTACGAAACAAACTGTGACATTTAAATGAAACGTTTACTTTAAGCTGATATCTACTTTCCCCATAACCTTTTGTCTTTTTCCCTAAAGAGGTGGAATAATGAGTATATTTCCTGGGATCCAAATAACTTTTGTGGCATTGATAATATTTCCATTCCTACTGAAGTTTTGTGGCAACCAGACCTCACTATTGAGGAAATGTAAGTGTTATTGGATCAAATATGCTTTAAAAATCCACAAATAACCATTGTGTTTCAAATACATGATTGTTATTAGTAATTATTGTTTTTGTTATTCATTTTACAAGAAATGGGTCTTACATATAATGCAATATAGGATGTTTATTTATTTGCCACTAAAACATAATTCTGCACTCCCTCACATGTGTATGTTTTTATGCTACTTTTGTGTTGTGTAAAAATACCTCTCAAACAAGAGTGAAGGAAAAATTGAACAATGCTCATAAATAAGTCAACATGAGGGAAAGTGGGTAGTGACCAAAAGTACAAGATTGCAGATACAAGCGGCCGAAATGAGTTTTCTCTGCAGAGTGGCTGGGCTCTCCCTTAGACATAGAGTGAGAAGCTCGGTCATCCGGGAGGGGCTCGGAGTAGATCCGCTGCTCCTCCACATCAAGAGGAGCCAGCTGAGGTGGCTCGGGCATCTGGTTAGGAGGCCTCCTGGACACCTCCCTGGTGAGGTTTTCTGGACACGTCCCCTGTAAGAGCTAGCCCAAGTGGCTGGGGAGAGGGAAGTCTAGGCCTCTCGATTTAGGCTGCTGCCCCCGCGACCCGACTCTGGATAAGAGGAAGAAAATGGATGGATGGATGGAGGGAAACAAATAATTTATTAAAATTAGAGACGAATGGGATTAGAATAAGGTCCTTAATCCCTGGTTGTGCTTGTGTTTTCCTGCAGGACAGAGAAGGACAAAGCTCCCCCGAGTCCTTATCTCACCCTCAACAACAAAGGAGACGTAGAAGTCCAGAACGATCAGGTGTTAGTCAGCACCTGTAGGATGCACACTTACAGATTTCCCTTTGACATTCAGAGCTGCAGCCTCACCTTCAAATCTGTCATACACACTGGTGAGAGCATCTAAATTAGCCTTCTGAGTTTGAGACAGTGAATAAAATGTGAAGAAGGAACACAAGTCCCTGTGTCAGTTTGATCTCACAAGCTGCAGCCGGACTTTCTTCATGGCTCAAGTTGTATTCAACTGGCAAAAACATCTTTAACCTACAGGATCTAGTACAGTCCCCATAACTGTCGAACAAGTCATTGGCATTTTTTTATTTTGCTCTGCAAGACGTTACAAATTCTAAAATAGAATGAAACACACATTTAGGACTGACTCTAAAGGTTTGCAGAGAAATTAGATCAGATTTTTTAAAAACTTTATAGTTTCAAGTCCAGTTGCTGTTATTTAGTATTGAGGTTGTGTTTTGTTTTGGTGTGGAACAAAGCAACTTTTCATCCTTTCTTTGTCTGGAGACCTTTTTACAGTGTTTTATTTCCTCTTCAGTCAAGGACATCAGGCTGCAGCCCAGTGATAACTCTTCAGAGGCCACGGAGTGGTCTCGTGAGCTGATGCGGACGCAGTATGAGTGGTTATTCATACACATGACGGTCACTGCCAGCAACGCCAGTGATTTAACAGAACAAGATGTTGTTATTTACACGGTATGTGGAATTAAATTCACAAGCACCCCCTGTTTTACAATGTTTTTTAAGTTACAGTAAAATACCAGCATCTGTGTTTGCTAAAACTCCACTGTAATAAACACAAAGGTTACATTTTGATTTCTTACACTCTTCAGGGCTGCGTCCGTGTGTCGCTATGTTTATTTACTTCTTCTTATGTGTTCTGTTGCTTAATCATCTGTTTCCATCTCTCTCCTGTCTGTCCTTTGTCCATCTAGTGAAATCCTCCCTTATCTCCAATTTTTTTCAGTTTTCCTGGTCGCAAACTCGGTCACGTCACAAAGTCTGTTTTTGACAATTTGAGATTCAGTGACCATCATTGACAGTGCACTGAGTTGCTGTTGAGTGCGCTGTCTGATATATATTAAATTTTAATTTGTGTAAATGGTTAGGGTAATGGCCTTCAAAAATTACCTAACTAAATAAAAAAAATGCACAGAGCCATAAACATGTGAAAAATATACTTTTTCAGGAGGACTTGCAGTGGTTTTTGAGACTCATCCTGCTTGTTCTGTATGAAACAATAAACACATTATCACTCCAAACAAACGCTTGGTCATTCACGCTCCAGGTCAGACACCAACACCGAAAGTGCCCTTTTTTGACATTGTTGTACTAATTTACCACATTTCACCACATCTGAACCTTGACATCTGAACCTCTTGTTACTTCTAACCTTCTACTTGCACCCAATCCAAACCCCAACCCTCTCGCTAGTTAGAACCTCCCCTCGCCTGGGCCCCAAACCAACAACATCTCAGTCCAGACGCGTGGGACAGAAACGCTTGGTCACTGTTGGGGAAGGTTAGAAATAGCAAGAGGGTTAAGGTTTGGATGGGGTCAAATGTGCGTGTTCAGTAGAGCGCCAACGAACATCCCATGGGGTCATTCTGATGCCACATTGGGATTTGCATTAGAATCAATGGGCACTTTTGGCTTTGTTGGCTGACAGAAGGTGAGTGACCAAGTGTTGGGAGTGAGAATGTGTTGTAACAATAGATTTACCAGCTTGAAAATTACAAAGCACATCAGCTTGTTACCAACAGTGGCCAAGTCCTCATATTTCATGTTCAGCAGAATCCCACATTTTTGTTTAATATGTGCATAAATGGTCTGACTAGGCGGTCAATGCTGTTAAATACTTTACCTGGTATCTCTCCAAACCACTGAGTTCTTAAACATGTTGCAGAATGACATGTGTGTTTTTTTCTCAGATCACCATGAAAAGGAGATCTGTGCTGTACATCGTTAACTTCCTGCTGCCTGTCCTCTTCTTCTTGAGTCTGGATTTGGCCTCCTTCATGATCTCTGATAGCTCCGGAGAAAAACTCAGCTTCAAAGTCACCGTTCTGCTCGCCATTACTGTGTTACAGCTCATTCTCAACGAAATTCTACCATCTTCCTCTAATAGGGTGCCACTCATCGGTAAATGAACATAATGATGTCAATGGTCTAAGATACTAAGCAGTCTTAGTTTATTGTGTTGTGCTGTATGCTTCTCCCAGCGGTCTACTGCATAGGTATTTTTGCTATGATGATGCTCAGCCTCCTGGAGACCATTCTGGTGATGTATCTGTTAGAGAAAAACTCCCAAGAATGTGAGACGGACACAAACCATTGTGTGGTTCAAGAATCAAATAAAACAAGGAAAAGGAGGTTTCACTGCTGCCAGAAAGGTGAGAGTTAATTTTTAGTTCAGTTACAGAAAAGTTTCCATAATTTAAAAATATTTAATGAGCAAAACATGACGGTAAATGCTTTCATTAAAGATGACACATACAAAATATATTCTTAGTAAAAAAACTATACTGTATATGCATTAAAATTAAGTTGATTATCAATCCATGACTGAGTGGCAATAATGAAAAATTACTAATAGCTTAGAAGCATATGATCATAGCAGCTGCTCCCTGATTGTTTATCTGCTGTTCCTGTAAAGTTTCTTAACCCTTTGATGCATGAATTATGAAATCTTCAACCATGATTTAAAAAAAAAATTTCATTTGTCTTTAGGTGTGAATGAAGCAAATTTCAACAAATATTTTTTGTAAAATTTTATAATTTACAAATCATTTATTACATATCCACCTCAGTGGACAGCGTGCATTCTGAGCATGAAATATGTTGGCTTGGCTTACTGAAGTACAAATGGAGGGGCTCACATGCAATATAGTCTTCAACAGCTGTGCTTAATAGCAAAAACAAATAAATAACAATTTTGAGGACCTGTCCACTGTATTGACCATTATGCATCAAAGGGTGGCAGCACAGACTAAGCATGACTGTCCACATTGAGTTCAATGTAAATTTTCAAAAGGTTTCCTTTTCATCAATTAGTGAACTGTTAGAACTAAAACATCTTTACCTACTTTAGGATGATTCTACATAAACTACAGCCAATCCTGCAGTGTTACAAAAGTTTGAGATTTCCCATAATTTATTAAAAATAATATTAAAAATAAATACAACTGAGAGAAGCCAGCACTTTAAATATGATTGTTACTCACTCTCAATGTTATTTTATGCTGAAGTTGTCTCTGGTTTGATTTGAAGAAAATTTGGTGCCTCTACTGCTTTCCTCAGGAACACTGGAGTGACTGCAACCAATCAGGCAATTACTATAAAAACTACCATTTTTGACATGGTTTTAAATCTAATATTAGTCTTTTCTGAAAAACATCCTTTTTAGAAGTTCATGAATGGGCTCAGGGTGGCTTAATCTACAACATGTCAGCTGGGGAAACTCCATCTGAGATGCTGCATGCTCCTAAAGAGGTTTGCATTTTTTTCCTCCTTGTTCATTGCAGACCCAGTGAGCTCAAACTGAAAGTTATAAACTTATATGTCAAACCACCTTTGCAGGACAACATCAAACATATGGATGAGTATTGCACCTTGGAGCAGATTTCAGAAGACCTGAGGCTGATGGAGAAAACCATGGCACGTCTCATCAAGGACAAAACAGAAGATAATGTTGGGTATTGGTCCAGAGTGGCCAAAAGAGTCGACAGAGTTTTCTTTTTTCTCTACATCACAATGGTTGGTCTGTTCTTGCTAGGAATGTTCTTTGAGTGGAACACAGCTGAAACAGATTCATATCTGGATAGTTCATTTTAACGAAACTGTATTTATATTACACCAAAGATCACAGGAGAACTCATCTCAACCAGCTTTGCAGGAAAAAGTTAAAGCCATATTCACTTGAAGGAATTTAAATGTTTTCTTTCCAAATGACGTCACTATGGTATATGTCACATTTAAAAATGTCCATCACTAATCTTGTCCCTAGAAATATAAATATGTTTGCTGCTGCTGTGTTTACTTAACAAGTGAAAGGTACCAAAATCTTGTAATTTGAAAAAAAAAAAAACATTTTAAATAAATTCAGCATGGATATTAAAGTTAAACTAATATGCATGGCAGTGTGTATAACACTAAATAATGAATGTGAATAAAAGGTCTGACATTGTTGCAGTGCTTTTCAGACATTCCATACATTTTTTGAAAAGCTTGAAAATATCACAGGTGCCACCAGTCCCTCTGACCCCACCTGCAGGTAAGGTGGGTTAAGTGTCTTGCCCAAGGATACAACAGCAGAATTCTCTGGGATTGATTCTACAACCCTCCAATTGTTGGACAACCTGCTCTACCTTATGAGCTAATGCTACCCCAGCAAATACGGTGGCCCAGAAGGTTAAAAAAATATAAAAGCCATAACACAAATTTATAAGTGGAAACACAATGTTCAACCTGAGCCTTTGGTTGGAGCAGGTCCCCATCCTGTGGAAGACCTCCTGTGTGGTCCCAGTTCCCAAAATATCACATCCCAGGCAGTGTTGTCTTTGGCAGACATCTCAGTTTTGGTCTTATGTGCCATTCCCATCTGTACCGGGTCGGCCCGGGCCGGGTAGCGTAGGTTGTTTACATATCTGGGTGGCATGGTATTTTTCCGGGCCAACCAAGGCTCATTCTCAGCCCTCTTCTCGAGGGGGTCTGCTTCAGGCCGACCAGGGCCAACACACCCACTGCTGACAGCAAATTCACACCTTCCATTAGAGCAAGCCTCTGATTGGTGGGTAGAATCAGCCCACATGGGCTTAAGACAAGGATGTGTGGAATCAACCGGGCCAGGCTGGGGCCGACTGGGCCGACCCGGTACAGATGGGAATGGCCCATTAGTCTTGATGACGAAAATGTATTTTAGTCTTAGTCAGATTTAGTCGACTAAAATTCACAAAGATTTTAGTTGACACAGGTTTTTGTTTTGCATTTTACAAAACATCAAACAAAATATTATTCTCTAACAAATGAATGTATAGGTCAGACGTGTACTCTGAGCTACTGGAGTGAGTTTCATACCAACATCATTTATTTTATGGTTATGGGACAAAATCTCAGCTGCCCCAGATTTTATAGAACAATAATCCCTAGATTGGTATCATTTATTTTGACTTTACTGATAATCACATTAGTGTATATAATGTATTAATGCAGATCTGTGCATCATTCTGTAGATTTCCACTAATGAAAAATATGATTTCCCTTCCTTAACAGAATGAATTCTTAGGGAGCATACAGAGTATTCTACACAATATTTAAATAGAAATAAAGAAATGTGTTTGTTTAATTTATTATTTGAGTCATCAGACCTCCATCTTGTCTTTAAATGTATATTGTGGAAAAAAACACCTTCTTAAATGCAGTAATGTTTTTCCACAGACTGTAGTGTTGTGAGTTTTCACAGAACTGATATAAATAACCCAGTTCTGCTCCTGAGCATCAGCAGAGATGCTCATGAACATTTAGATGGGCTTAAACTGTTACGCTGTTGGGTTAAAAAGCAGGAATGTGACCCGTTATTAGGAACCAGGGAGCAGATAGGAGGCTGAGGAGCTGAACATGTGCTGACGGCCGATCACCGGATACACGGCAGCGTTTGAAGCTGATGGCAGCTCATTAACAAACATCCACAATTAAGATGCATTTTCATCTAATTTATCTACTGACAACTCAAAAAATAATCTGGTAAGTATAACTCACTCAACCTGGAGGTAAGTGGAGAAAATTTAGAAAGTTTACAAAACTATATTGACGGAGTTTTTCGTTATGGGTCCGAAGAAATCAGCAGCTGAGACTGAAACACCTGGGACCAAGAGGAGCCGTCTTCAGGACTCGCCTGAGGCCTCATCTCCCCGTAAGGACATATTAGAATTATTAGATTCTATAGATAAACGGCTTCTGGGATTTGAGGGGCGACTTCATCTGCTTGAGGTTCTACACGAGGAGTTTCAGAACCTCTGAACATCTTTGGAGTTCAACCAAGAGCACGTTGAGCAGCTCGCTGCTGAGAACGCGTCTCTGCGAGAGTCCGTTTCTTCCCTGGAAGAGGGAATGATGCGGATCACCCTGGACAACAAGATTCTGAAGGAGATGATTTTGGACCTTCAGGCCCGTAGCATGAGGGATAATTTGGTGTTCGCAGGCCTGCAGGAGCAGACGGGAGGGGCGGAGAACTGCGAGCAAACAATAAAAAAAGCTTTCTCCAGACCCAAATGAAGATACCCGAAGAAACGGTAAAAAACATCACCTTTCACCGGGTACATCGCCTTGGAGCTAAAAGAGTGGACAGCAGAAGACCTCGTCCCATTATGGCTAAATTTGAACATTTTAAGTAGAAGGATCTTGTTAAAAGTCACGGAAGAGAGCTCAAAGGAAAAGACTTCAGCGTAAATGACCAGTTCCCTAAGTAAATCCTGGACCGTCGCCGAGTCCTCTTTCCGCTGCGCAAAACGTTGATCCAAGATGGGAAGAGGGCTGTCATCTCGGTGGATAAGCTTTATGTGGACAATAAAATTTACAAGGAGCGAGGAGTGACAGACTGGCTGTATTAGCCCAACATCAGGTTAGACATTTATTATTCTTATCAGGATTCACTGGGTTTGAGCACGTCGGGATTAAACAGCTGCTAAATCTGTATTCTAGATGATATCACCTGTTCATCACCACCTCACACCCCATCACCTTTTCTTTTTAGTTCTTTCTTCTTCTTTAACCTGCATAATTCTTTCCTTTCCTCTCTTTACCTGCTTCTGTACCTTTACATCTGTATGGCACAACAGGACAACTTTCCAACACTGCGTCAGACTACACACACACACACACACACACACACACACACACACACACACACACACACACACACACACACAATCACATCAGTAAAATTTATATTCGGCTGAGTCCAGATGAGCCAAGTAAGGTAAGGCAAGGAAACGCCATCAGAGGAGCCATCTACCCCGGCAGCATCAGGTTGTCCACAGCAACCATCGACATATAAATATTGGACAATGGGTTTCTGTAGACTCCAATAACACATTTTTGAGATAAATGGGAGGTGGCCACCACCGCCATTTTGACCGTGTCACAGGTTCCGTCAAGCCCAGACAATTCCACAAAAGGGAAGAGAGGTAGAGCTGAGGGTGGGGCTGTAAGGCTGGGATCAACTGACGACACCCGGTCGATAGCTACAAGCTAACTCAAAGCTAACCCAAAGCTAACGCAGAGGTGGGAGCTAAGCTAACAGAGGTAGCAACCTAGCTACAACCGGAGTTAACTGTGCACAACACCAGAGCTTCTGAGTCAGAGATACGCCGGGCTGACCGCTGGGTAAAACCGGGTGGAACACAGAGGTGTCTGAGAGCTCCACAAGCCAGCAGCCGCACAGCAGACAAGCGCTCAGCGATCTGAGATGTGCAGAGCTGCCGCTGGGGAGAACCGGGTGGAAAGGTTTCCATACCAACGCTCCACAAGCTGGCAGCCCGTGCAGCAGACAGAAGCTGCAATCAGACAGAGATGCGCCGAGCTGCTGGGAGGGGAGAACCAGCCAGCAGCCCGCGCAGCTGACAGAAGCCGCAATCAGACAGAGGTGTGCTGAGCTGCGGGGAGGGGAGAACGGGTGGAAAACAGAGGTCTCCCGAGAGCTCCACAAGCCGATAGTCGGAACCCAGCTCCACCAACATGTTATATTTCAACCCATTTTCTAAAGTGCAGCATTATGTTAAATGCATTGGGTTTTACCCTATTACATTTTAATTTCATGGTTAAAGGGACTTTACGGAGTTTTGAATTGTTATGCTCGCGATTGCCCCCTCAGGCCAAAAGCGTAACGGCAGCTTCAATAGTAGGCTCGTGCACGAGGCACGCATGCTGTAAGTGCACACTCCTTAACGAAAATAAAAGCTGAGACAGTCCCGTGTGTGTGTGTGTGTGTGTGTGTGGTGGGGGTGGGGGGGCAGGGTGGCCCGGAGAACGGAGGACAGGAAAACGTGCAGCTAATTAATTAAATAATTTGGTTCTGTACCTTTCTCTTCAGCACAGCCGACAACGGTTTATGATGGGTCAGTCTCCCTGCAAGCTCAGATCATTCCCTTCCCTTGCTTGAAAAGCTGTTCCAAAATGAAAGTTGAACCCACATCTTTTTTATCTGTGAATTCTATGCTGTTTAGCGAGTCTCAAATAAAAATTTGGGCATCTTACTGTAAAAAAATATACCATTAATGTAAAAAATAAACTCTAAATAAACTATGTTCACATCCAGAATCAAACCCAGATCTTCCGCACAAGAGTCCGCCACCTCACTAGGTGAGCTATAGAACCAGTGACATCTTTTGTATCTGTAACATTTATATCCTTGATGACAGCTGAAACAACGTTCAAAGAACGGTTCGGAGTGAAAATGGCTATTTTGTTGCTAATTTGCAGGAAATATATAGTAAAGAGTAGTGAAGGGTCCTCAGAAATGTAGCTAGGTTGATCACTAGGCGTTAGGAACAGCGACAAAGTCGCTGAGTTGGCACTACCTCACTCTCTGCTGCTAAAGCTACTGATAGCAAATGCTACGGGCTATGCCTGAGCGTGAACGCGCATGAAGCAGCCTGCTTGACCCGAGCAGCTCAGCTCAACTCTCTTTTTCTGTGATTTTACAGAAAAACAGGCAATCACAGTAAAAATGCCAGGGCTAATTCTACAGGACCAGGGCATTGCAGGAGAATGTATGAAGAAGAAATTTATTATTTCTATACATGTTTTGGCTGTCAAACTTGCATAATGCCCCTTTAAACAGTACATGTTAAAATCTAAGCTTAGCTCGGCAGTGACCTAAAATACATGAATATAATTTTACTTACCGAAAAAAATGAAGTGGAGATTCCTTGGACGCTCTATTAGTGCAATTAATGCCACAGCAAGTCATTTTGTCCAACAATTGCACAAATAATATCCAAAAAGGAATACACAAACACAGAGACTCAAAATCCCGGAACAGTTTCCAAGCCAGACCGAGGCTCTACTGAGGCCTTTCCACGGAGCTAGCTCTGTGGTCACGTGGGTCTGATGCTCATTAATTATACAGAATTTTAGGCTTTTAATACACTTAAACAGAAGAGTGAGAAAAAAATTCACCCCCCTCAGAGTTG